GCCCAACCTTTGGAGAATGCCCTGACACGTACCACGAAAAGAAAGACAAATCAGCAAAGCACTGGAGAAAAGTAAATTGCAAGTTTTATGGCGAGCGAATGCGAGCGATTTCACCGACTCAAGGTTAGACTAGCAAAACTCTAGGGATCTCTGACCGTCGGTTGCCCCATCTTGGCAGGCGATACCATGTTGTCAACCGAAAAGTTGTTTCATCGTTGCCAGTTGGGCGTGCTTGGCTCAAGAAGCCACTGGAAGCCATTGTTTGTTGATATTTGCAGGGGAATCATCATTGTCGGGTTTCTCAGGTGGTGCAGGATTTCGTCCATCCACAGTACCAAACTGTTACAGTAAACTTGTGGGTTTTGTTCCTCATAATGTTGGTAAAGGCCCCAAACGTTGAACTTCTGTCGGGCAATGAGCTCAAACAAAGAGTACGTTGTGCGCAGATTGTCGGGTTACCGGAGAAATGTTCAATCTTGCCAATCCAAAAGAGGTGTCAGAGAGCGAGCAGGCCCTTGAGACAAATGAACAAATAGACCTGCAACGGTTTGTTTGCACTTCTCTGCGGCATTTCCTGCCTCTGGGCCCCTGCGTGGGTGTTGAGTGTATGGAGTGCGGCGCCCGACGCCTGCCGCTCAGGCTCAAAGAAACTCCGGCGGCCAAAGGTTTGCCGCCGGAAGGTCACGACACCTCAAGCACCGAGGTTGGGGATTAGCAAAAAGCCATTGGCTCATCCAGGTCCTGTACCTGATCCCTGAAAAACCCTTACGGGTGAATGGTACATTCACCCGGAGCACAGATAAAGCATGGTTGAGGCAAAGGCTTTGAGCAAGACACAGCCACTTGGACGTGAACAACATGCGAAAGAGCCATCTAGTAAAGCCCCATTGTGGTCAGCTCAACACGTGGCCCCATGGGCCTGGAAAAGCCGTCCCTGTGGACTAGGTTTATTGATTATGATGGTGCAAGCTACGTAAATCACAGGCTCAACCAGAAAGACATCGTCATCGCTAGCCTGACAAACACAGGGCGCGCCTGGCCCAAAGCTGATGTTGCAGGCGCCAAGAGAGAGAAGTATTCCGGTCCCTGCGTTTTGGCCACGGTTTGTTTGCCCACACCTGGGTGTTTTGATTGGCAGCCTCCCTGCGCGCTTCTGCGCGCGCGCGCGCCCGCCAAAGCCATGCAGCCGGTTGGAGATGCGCATGACGCTGGGCTATGAGCCAGCGCTTGGGTCGAGAGCTTCTGGAAATCCTTCCCACGTCAACTTTTGCCCCGCTGAATTTAGTTGTTCTATTCCGCGGGGTATTTCCATTCCCCCCCCCCCCCGCCCACCGCAATTTAATGAAGTAAGTGCACGTTTGTTCTGAATGAGAGGTGTGTGTGTGTGTATGTGGCGCTGCTTAGGTAGGGTCCAAACACATTCTGCTAGTTTTGTTCCTGGCCATTGCAACATCTCTTGGTTCCTTGGAACATAAAACCAACAGTGGCTCCTGGTTGCGACACTGAGGTTTTGACACAACAGTGTCCAGCAGTTGTTGAGTGAGCTGGCGATCAAAGTCGGAAGTGTAACTGTCGAAGTCTAATCGGGAACCATGGACCGAGGGGTAATCTTGCCAAACAAAGGCTTGACGAGAAAACCGCTCGAAGGAAATCAACATACTGCGGATGGACGAAATCCACCACCAGGGTTTCTTCGGTGGTGCAGAATTTCGTGCCCAGCATGGAGGGGTCCTTGGTGAAAATGGGGCGAACGGATTCGAACACGCACTGCTTTCCAGCCCAGTGGCCTGGATTTTTGGGCTTGGCGGTGACATCAGCTCCAAACGCTGGCAGGGAAAAATCGCTCGTGTAGACGCTGTATCAGGGGATGAGGAGCCCCCAAACGGAACAATCCCTGGTGCTTCGAAAGGGACCTTCATTCCCAACACCCCAGGTGGTTTCCTACTAGCTTAGAAGCTCCATCTAGGGAGGCTAAAACGGAGAAGGGAAACCCTACTAGCTGTTTGATGGTTCCCTTATCTGGTCTTTGACCTATCCTCCTGCCAAAAAACATGGAAGTGCAGAGACCTAAAGGGATCCCTTTAAGACTGCCATCTCGTAATAGGGAATTCACAGGGACACCTGGCACCCATGTGGCAGTATTCAAGCTTTAATCTAGCCCATTTGGTGTTTCCTTCTGGAGACGCCCTGTTTGTATGTTGGTTTGCTTGCTTGTTTGTTTGTTTGTTTTTTGGTTTGGTTGGGTGTGTTTTTTTGTTTGGGGGGGGGAAAGGGCGGGGTTCCGTTGTTTCGACTTTCAAGTCGCCTTAGGAGCTGCCCCATGTGAACCTGGTCTTCATCGGCCCCTGCGGCAGCGGCAAGTCCACGATGCTGGGGCATTTGATCGCCGACTCCGGCGCGGTTGCGCCTTGAGCTGTCACCGGGGTCCGCTCCAGAACTCGGTTCCATGGCTGTGGGCTGTGGGTCAAAAGTAGGGGTAACCATGGGTAACCCCAAAATTGAACCCTGGCAAGTGAAAACATGGACTAAAATCTGCGATCCAATTCCTGGTGGTCTAGTTTTAACCCTATATGTTGGGTGGCCCGCATTTGGACCGGAGTCTGAAAAATGGTATGGTGCCCAGATTTGAGCCAGATTTGACCTGATATGTTGCGGTTTTGATGTTTCCTTTCTGGAGAAATCACCCCGTTCAACAGGAACATGCCTAGATCATGCAATCCTTGGGTGGCAACTATTGTTAATATTATGACCCCTGATGTGGGTAGTTCCTGTGGAGAGGCGTCGGACTTTGCAACCCGACGGGTGCTTGTCGCTCAGGACGCCGAGAATTTGAGCCGAGTCTTCGACGAAGCCAAGCAGCAAGGAGACTTGAAAGCTTAGGGACAGCTGGGGGTGTCGTCATCCCATTTCCTTGCCGGAATATTGGGAAATCGTGCCATTTGCTATCTCCCTGGTGCATCCTGTTCTTCAGAGAATCATGGAAGTGGACAGCAAGCCTTTTCAAAAGGACTCCATAGCGGGGAGGGTGCTTTTAGCGTGAAGGTGTTGGTCAATTCAGATTAATTAACACCGCGGACATATATTCTATTTTGTGGGAAATGTGCTGGATTTGATTTATCAACGTTGGTGCAGTATCGCCCAAGTATTTGCTTAGCGTTGGTTCTGAGGGTTAACACGACTGGAGCTGGGGTCAGCGGGAATTTGCTGGCTTGGAGTTGGGTTGGCATTAGCCAAATTTAGCCTTGGGGTCTCGGAAACATGAGGAGAATATCCACGCACCCCAAAGGGTGTTTGCCTGTGTGTGTGTGTATAATATAGCAGTCCGCTTGGATTTTCAAAAGGCACAACCTGTCAGCGAAGAGGACATCCAGATCGATGCTACAGCTGGATCCTGGACAAGCTGAGCTGCGAGCGCGAGCGGGGCAACAGCATGTACGTAGCCATGTGGAGGCAGGGAACGAGCGACGGCAAACCACCAAAGCGAAGCGACATAGTCATGAGAGATGTACCTTTGTTTGTAGTTTCAAGGGGAAATTAAGAGGAGGAGCACCATTGTTTGGTCACCCTATTTTGAGACGAAGGCAGGAGGGTGTTGAAAGACTCCGGTTCTTTTGGAGAAACGTGAAGGCACCTTCGTGGGTACATGGCCTCTTGTTGCCCTGGGCTCACACCAATCCGTTCACAACTCATCCATCAGTTGCCAAGTTGCAAGGATATGAGCCCTTCCATGATTGGGGTTTTGTCAGACTAAGCCGTCCTGAAATGGTACCAGTCGCCCAAAAGGACGTGCCGTTGGATGACACCAGCCAGTCGGAAAGGGGACCATACCCCTGGCGAAGATTGCCTGAGGGGGTTGTCCGGAGTGTTCCACGTTACCTGCGGGGGAATGTTCAGGTTCTCCAAAAATGGGAGGTGGATAGGTTTGCTTTCTGTTCTTTTCCTTCCTTGCCGCCCAAGTGTTTGCCCTTGCGCCAAGGTCTTTGAAGCAACCCTGCAAGCTTTTTGCCGTTTGTTGAAATCAAACAGCATATTTCGAGTCGGCAAACTTTTGTATACACCTTATTTGATAGAAGGTCGACATTTTAGTCTTGGCCCAAACTCCAATTGTTCAGGGGCACTGTACATAATCCCTTACAGAATCCCTTGTTGCTGGGTTCCCCAACAAAGATGGTCAATCCCAAAAGGGGTTTCCTTGTTCTACCAGGATCGTTGATATAACTTTGCTTGGCCAGTGAGATTCGTTGTTCGGGGAGATGCCTTACGCTACTAAATTGGAATGCGAAAGCACTTTTATGTGGGAGGTGATGTCATTTGCCACCTTCCAAAACCTGCACGGACCAGCAATCTGACTCCTGTAGTTACCAACACTCTCCGGATCTGAGGTTAGCGTCGCGGAGGTGTCGCTTTACCATCATGGACGCCCCGGGGCACACGGACTTCTCCAAGGACACGGGGTGCCACGTGTTGAAAGTGACCAAACCCTGGGCCCCTTCAAAGACGGATGTGTACAACAATTCAGGCCACCCGGATCGGTGGTTCGGATCGGTTTGGGTTTGAACCGGCAAAGGAACGAGGGTAGATGGGAAACCACCCCACCGAACCAGCAATCCCCGCCAATCGGAGGGCCAAACCCTGAAGGACATAGTGACCGCGATGTCTCAGGCCCGGCGTTCGGCAAAGCTGGCGTTCCGATTTGTCTAATTTACAAATATATTGTTTAATGCATTGCTTTATACGCATATACATATATATTTGATGTGTATTGTGCGTACGTATATATATAGACAACATACGCATCGTCTTGTATTATATGCTATATACTCGTATCGTGGCTTTGCTCTAAAGAAAGTCTCAGGGGTGGGATCTGTCATGCTGTATGCTTGGGACAAGAAAGAGCTGATGGGATATCCCCCCCGCGTTTGTTGTGTCGGCCGATTGAGCAGTTCTGTTGGCCATCTTTCAGGGTTGGAAGGATCGGTTGGCTGCGAATTGCCGGATGAGCATTTTGGGGAGCCTGCAGCGTTTGATAAGTGATTTCCTACTTGAGCCACCATCGGATTTCACTTGCACTAATTTAGCATCCTTTTGAGCCATGGTCGTCCTTCGGGCTAGGGTTGGGCTAGAGTTGGGCCGCCTTGGGTTTCCCTTAGGAAAGCAGGGTCTGTTAAGGCAAAGTTTGCCAAATGGATTCTACACCAGGTGTGTCCATGAGAGGCAAACCCTGACTTATGTCAACAAACTTTGCCTAACTCTGCCTAGAAAGGGGTTTCCAAAAAGAGCTCACCCTTTTGTCACCTCGCCTCCCCCCCCAAAAGGACTTGGCATACTTGGCATACTCTTGTTTGGCTCCAGAACACGAGAACCCAACCCAAAACCAAGACATGTTGTCTGTATTATCTCAGCAAGTCGGGACCCGACCCCAGGCAGATATTGCTGTGCTGGTGGTACCAGCGGCGGAAGAGTTGGAGCAGGGGCAGGCCTGCACGGTAGACCTGCAGTGGTTGCTTTCGTTGGGAACAGGCTCTGGAACTTGCGGCCTTAGTTGCTTGGGTTTTCCCTCGTCTCTTTGTTTCTTCCGTTTGCTTTTTTTTTCCCTTGCTCTTTCGTTTCTTGATATGTTCCCATCGCTGGAGCTTCGGGTCAGTGTGGCGCTCTGTCGTTCTTTTCGGACGGGTCTTCCCTGCATATTCACATGCCCACACGAAGGTACCTTTTTGGATTCTAAGGGGTTCTTCAACACTAAGATCCAAAGCAATTCAACCTGCGATTTTACTAGTGCCGCAGGTTGAAACATTGTTGCTATGGGAACTGCATAGTCTCCTCGTTGGGCATCACCACACTCCGAGTCGCAGCTGGCGTTTTGACCGTTGGTCAATGTTGGTCAACTTGGTTGACGTGTTGTTTCATTTGCTTATTTGCATGAGAGGCAGGTATCGTTTGCGTTCTTGGGGGCGCAGTTTGGTGGTGAACAGTTGCGCCCCCGCTTGTTGCAGTCACCTCATTGAATGCTCGACCAGCCCATTTTGCAACACACAGGCGCACACACACACACACACATGTGTCCGTCGCTCTAACAAGATGAACCTCGGAGGCATGCCACGAACAAGGGGTACCACTGGAGAGCCGAACACGGATTGGCACTAGGATGAGAAGTTTTGCGACCAGCAGTTCTTTGCGCAGCATTCTAACGAGCTCATTTCGTGGCAGGATGAGCGTCTTGAGGGTTCTTGATTTCGTATCGGTGGTAAATGCATTTTTACAATCATGTGCCCAAAGCTATGCGACCAACAACTGCGGCCAGAAGATATCCTTGGGTGCTGCCCACAGCTGCAGACACTTGCCTCGTGGTCTTGTGTGACAATTGTGGTCCACTCACTATGTACACAGTGCTGGGCCGGCATCAAGCTGTCATGAGTTCGCTGAACTGCTACAGAACCCCGGATTCAAAGGTGTTTGTGTTACAGTTACACCATGGGATCAATGATTAGGCTTTGGGCAATGCACTGATGCAACTGTTCAAGGTTTCATGTGCAGCCAGCTGGAGAAATTTCCCAGAGGATGACATAGCGCTTAATATGCAGCTATAAACCCCGATTGTTGGATAGCCCTCTCGGCAAGCCACATTGTTATCCCACCAAAGCTCAGTCTGTGAGTTCCTGCACTTCAAACTTTGTGGGAAGACCATTTTAGCGGTAAACAAAAAGTGGGTGTACCTTTTCTTGGTCGATCCACTCGATCGGAAGTGAGAAAAAGGGGTGGTCTTTCCACATGTCCGGCGTGGCCTTGTGGCACTCTGCCAGGAATGCGAAGGGCAGCTGCGTGAGCATACATTGCTGGCCTACACCTTGGGTCTCCGCAGGCTGGAGATACCAAGCCACGCGCAAAGCGGGGCTGCACGTGACGCCAGCGTTTTTTTTTCCCCCAAAAAAAATCGGAGTCCTGCGGCAAGGGCCCAGCTCCTCCATGCTTGGTAGGATATGTGAGCTGTGAGCTGGTTGCTCTTCTGTTCGCAGATTTGTCCCATTTTCTGGTTGCCTTTCGGTGGCGCCGACTGGATTCTGGCTCCTAGTTCCAATTTGTCTTCAACCATTGTTCCTATTGTTTATGTTGTTTTGTTATATCTTTGTTTCTTTGTTTATTTTTGTCTTTGTTTCTTTGATTATTTGATTATTTATTCATTTCTTTGATTATTTCTTTCTTTCTTTCTTTCTTTCTTTCTTTCTTTCTTTCTTTATTTCTTTCTTTCTTTCTTTCTTTCTTTCTTTCTTTCTTTCCTTCTTTCTTTCTTTATTTCTTTCCTTCTTTCTATTGATTTATGTCTTTCTTTCTTTCTTTCTTTCTTTCTTTCTTTCTTTCCTTCTTTCTTTCTTTCTTTCTTTCTTCCCTTCTTTCTTTCTTTCTTTCTTTCTTTCTTTCTTTCTTTCTTTCTTTCTTTCTTTCTTTCTTTCCTTCCTTCCTTCCTTCCTTCCTTCCTTCCTTCTTTCTTTCTTTATTTCCTTCTTTCTTTCTTTCTTTCTTTCTTTCCTTCTTTCTATTTCTTTCTTTCTTTCTTTCTTTCTTTCTTTCTTTCTTTCTTTCTTTCTTTTTTTCTTTCTTTCTTTCTCTCTTTGCTTGCTTGCTGGCTGGCTGGCTGGCTGGCTGGCTGGCTGGCTGGCTGGCTGGCTGGCTGGCTGGCTGGCTGGCTGGCTGGCTGGCTTGCTTGCTTGCTTGCTTGCTTGCTTGCTTGCTTGCTTATTCGTTTGTTTTCTGAAAGAAACACACCTAGGCTTGGAATGCATAAGTTATCCCCAGATCGTTGGTGGGTTGGAATGGAAGAGCAAACAAACTTGAGGGACCAGGTAAATTCAAGGACAATTCTGCACCGGAAACTCCCATCACCAAGTTGTCCCCAGCTACCTGTGTTAGTGCCTCTTTTTAGCATCCCTGATCTGGGACGAGCGAGACCTGCTCGACGATGCTGGGAGAGAGAGAGAGGGAGAAAGTTATCCCTATATCTTCGGAATTCCCAAGATGTTCCCTGAGGTTTCGGAAGGGTGGGAGGCCATCAACAAGTTGGTGAAGGGTTGAATTTCCCCGGTGTCCATTGTCTATGTCTTCTTGGCTTTGCGCCAAGTGCCGATTCGGAATTCTTGGATGATTTCTCTCCCCCCCGCCCTGCATGTGTTCCGACAACTGGGGGGCAAATCATCCAAGTTGGTGAATGGGAATTTCCCCGTGGTTTCCCCTTTTGTTTGTTTCTTCTCGGCTTTGCGCCAAGTGCCGGGAATTCTTGGATGATTTCCCCCCCCTCCCCAGCCCTGCAGGTGAGTGGAAAACAGTGCCGATTCGGAATCCTTGGATGATTTACTCCCCCCCCCCCCCAGCCCCGCAGCGCGAGATTCCTGGGGCCAGGATGGTGGTGTGCGTGAACAAGATGGACGCCGACGCGGTGAAGTTCTCGGAGGAGCGCTTCGCCGCTGCCTGTCAGGTGGCCTGGGCCTCAGCTGAAAGATCTTGGCGCCTGGGAAACTGGGGCAATTAGCCAAGGATCGGTGCGTTTGTCCCAACAGAGGCCAAAAGTGCTTTTTTTGGGTGTGCTTTTGTTTTGTTGTTGCTTGTTGTTTCTCCGGATTTTGCCAGAGCCCCTATGCAACACCCAGACATGGTTTGCCTTGACCGTGTCAGAAGTACAAACCCACTCCCCAAATTAGAACAGGGTACTATGGCTTGAGAAAAACTGCACACATTCATGCCCCAAGATCATGGAGTACCCCACAACCTCATTCCATATATTTACCGCATGTTCATCCCTCATGTCATGTTCCACAGAGTTCCTGGGCAAGGGCTTGTTCATAGGTGTCCTTTTTAGGTTAGCTTGGTTAAAAGTACAAGGCACTGGTTTAGATGGGTTTGATTCCATTTACCAGGGCCATCTATTGAACCAAAAGGACACCTATGCTTGTGCTTTTGGTCAGCCAGCCTTTTTGTCCTTGCATTGGCATCAGTCTCATAGACAGGTTCAGGCGCTTTCGGCCATGAGGTCCGGGAGGGCCTGAACGCGGCAGGGCTGAAGACGCAGGACGTGTACTTCGACGTGCACTTCGTACCTTCCTCCGGCTGGTTGGGGGCATCTCGTATGTGAGAAGATTGGCCCGCCTGCCGTTTTTTTTTGGGGGGGGATGTCATTGCACATAGCATATTTTCTATGCATGCTTTTGTTGTATGTCTTATATTGGAACCAGATTCCATTTGTGCAGACTGAATTACACATTGCACAGAACAGATATTTTTCCGGCAGGCAAAGTGCCAGTGAAGTGATCAATACTGAGTTTCTGCTTAATCGACTTCTCAAAAAAAGACGGACATCCGCGTAGACTCGCAGAGAGCAAGGGCAGCTGTTTCCTTGTACGCGCGCTGTGTTCACATGGCTGAGCCACCCATATTCTGAGGCTCCCCTAGTTTGAGGCACTCCCATGGCCTGCTGAACTGCCACTTGCGGAGCTGTCCGATACCTGTTCCAGGTCTTGCTGAGAGCAGTGTGAACTGGAAGAGTCAGGATCCGACTTCCACTGTATCGTGGGCTCCTGTCCCCAGCAAGCTTCATGGAACTCAGGAAAAATTGTGGCAACGAATGAAGAATGTGCTTCAGGACAGCTACATCAGCCAGCCAGCCAGCCAGCAACAAGCTGACGACTGACAAAAGACGCAAATACTGGTGTGCTGCCATGTGCTGTCTTCATCGTGGATACCGTATGCCTCTTGTGCGAGTGTGTGCAGAGAATCGCCGCAGCGAGACTCCCCAAACTCCCCTGTGAATTAGGCGCAGACCCAGAAATCCTTGCCCCAAAAGGATGCCCAGTTCCAACTGAAAACCATTTCTTACATTGCATGCAAATCAGAAGGAGGGTACTAGTAGCATCAGGATGATTGTGTTCTTCTTGTTTTGCAGTATCCCTCCGAGGACAATGTCATCGGCCGCTCCGACAACATGCCGTGGTACTGCGGGCCTACTCTCATTGAGGCACGAGACAGGGATAAGGGTAAGTGCGGTTTTTCAAGGTACTCTTTTTGGAATCGTGTTCAAGAAAGTTGAATAATCACGACCCCTTGACCCCCAAAGAGGCACCCCAGAATGGTGTGCATGTATGTGATGTTGGAGGCCCCGTTGATAGCAAGAACATGCTGAATGGCAATGCCCATTTGGCTCAAGATGCCCAGAAGATCAAAACCAGGGTTTGCGCTCGCCTGCCGGACTGGGGTTAATAAGGGTCCCGGTTTCTGGTTCGCGTTGTTTCTTTCCCTGTTGAGTGGTTATCAGCCGTAACTGCTTTTTGGGATTAGGCCCCCTCAGTCCGGTAGTCAGCGCACTTCGTGCATGGACCCGGCTCCGGCCTTCTCGGCCAGAGGACACAGGGGCGGGTGGGTATATCGTCGAAAGCTTTACTACGAAGCCTTCGACGAGCTCACCCGTTGGGCTCGGTGCGAGTTTCAGGTTGGTGTGGCAAGGGTCCCCTGGGAGGAAGCTTCGGACTTGCATCGGAGCTCCCTCCTGGCGTGGCAGGCCGATTTCACTGAAGAGAGCTATCGGCACCTGCGGGACATCTACCCCGACCTCTACGACGCCGTCATCGCCCGAGGCCGCCACCAACCAATCCCAATTCACCAACGGGCACAGGCCGCAGCTCAAGGCGTGGCAGGGCAGGCTCCAACACCAGCTCAGCCACAGCAACAGCCAAGCACCCCATCAAGTCCATCCTCCACCACAACTGTGTCCACCATCAAGGCTGCAGCTCCAAGCGCAGCGCAGACACAGGCAGCAGCGGGGCCGGGAGATCAGGCTGCAACTACAAGCGCAGCGGTTCCACCAAGAACCACAACTGAGAGCCCGTCCCGACCTTCATCCTATCCACCTGCAACTGCGGGTAGGGGAAGGTACACTGCTGCGGGGAGGTCCTCATCGAGGAGGAAGAGGACACCGCCGGCAAGGCGACAACCTTCCCTTGTACCGGCGCGGAAGGCGTCAACCAGACGCCCGAGATCCAGAACTCCCCTCAGGGCTGCAGCTCCAAGCGCAGCGGGGTCGAGGACCAGGAGCTCCAGCTCTTCAACACCTCCGGCCCGTGCATCCCTGAGCAGCCGGCCGCTGATCTTGGCGCCGGCCAACTGCGCCTACCCGACAACCCGGGTGGACAGCACAGGGATCTGGATCCTCCAGCACCGATACGAGGGTACCGCACGACCCACGCGTCGGGCGACGCATCCGGTGCCCTCGGACGACCCGTACGACCTCCCAGACTCGTATTGGCACCATCCGCCAAGGGCAGACTCCTCTTCCGACCCTCCAAGAGGTCACGGGAGGGCCGAGCACTACGACCTGAGTGCGTCGCCACCTGAAAGGTCGGCTCAAGCCGTTTACTCAGGTCGTGCGGCCTTCAACCCGGACAGGGTGTACGAGGCTGAGCAGGTCAGCATCAAGCGGCCTGCACCTGCCGGGCGCGACTCATCCACAGCACCCGCAACAAAGACCGCTCGGATTGTTTTTGCCAAGCGGGAAAGCCAGGTCAAGGCGCGGCAGCTGCGGATCGCGCTGCGTCGAAGGCCATTCCCCCACCACCGCTGAGAGCACCACCAGCACCCCCAGCACCAGTGCCAAGGGATGCAGCTCAACGCGCAGCGTCGGTTCCGAAATCGATCAGTGGGGTAAGGCGGCCTGAGACACCGCCCAAAGCATTCAAGCGGGCGCCACCCTCACCTGCGCCGCAGGTGAGGTACAAGGCCCCACCGGCTCCCAAGTTGCCGGTGAAGCAGCCGCCCACTGCAGCTGCCAAGGCCCGTCCCTCCCGGGACGGCATTCAGTGTGCCTCAGCAGGAGGCACGAGACCCGCTGGTCATCGCCCTCGACTGGCATAATACGCTTGACATTGGCGTCGAGGGTGCGCCCAAGGATTGGCTTTTGCGTACAGTATCCAAGCTGTATAGAAGTCATTATCCGATCCAGTTTCGCATCATCAGTTATTGCCAGGCCCGGGACACCCGGGAAAGCACCCTCCGACATGCCACCCAGTTTTCCGAGGTGTGCAACAACGCCATTGACGGCTTGGGCACACTCCCGTTCGGAGACGTGGTCTTGACCTGGAAACGGGTCGGACCATCTGGCAAAGCTGCAGCTATAGCGCAGCTCGGGGCGTGCGCCATCGTGGACGACAACAACTCCATCCTCAAGGAGTGTCGCACTGCAGGAGCCCTTGGCGTAGGTGTCGATCGGCGAGACGCCAACCGAGCGCTCTACGACGCGCTGAACGAGCTCCACGAATACCTCGCTCAGCACCGACGCCTTCTCCGCCCTGCCAGGGTACTCGAACAAAACGAGTATCTCGAGGAGGTTGGCCGCCGCCCGCAATCTGCAAGGGGCGGCCGAGGACTTTTTCGTTGACCTGGCACTGCCGGAGGCTGCAGCTCAAGCGCAGCAAGTGCACCGGTTTCCAACACCGGTTGTAGCATAAGTTTTCCAAAGGCCGCAGCTTAAAGCGCGGTGTGTCAGCAGACGTGAGCCTGACCTCGTGTGAAAGGTGCATCTGACATGGCATCAGGGATTTCCCCACCTTCGGATGATAGGTCAAGGTCAACCCCTGGGGGAGAATCTAATGAGGAAGACCCTGAACTAGGTGATATTTCGGTACCCGCAATGTCCGTAGTTCCTGTAGGTTCCAGGGCATCCTCATCAAGAGATAATCGTGGTCGTGATCGCAACACGACTCCTCCCCGTAGCAACTCCCCTTGTGTATAGCCCTCAAGTGCCAGCACCCGACCCGTCTAATAACATGAGTGCTGCCGCGTTTGTGGCCGGATCGGCAGTGCAACGTGCGCATCAAGCTTCGCTCATTGCTGATCAGGCTGCCAATGTTGCCCTTCGCGAGCATCGAGCCGCGGACCAGGCCAGACAGAGGCTAGGGGAGGTTGCCGCTGTTGCGCAACAAAGGGAGCAGACCTTTAGACAACAGGCAACTGAACTGACATACCAAGCCCAGCAAGCAGTCGAACGAGCCCGTGCTCAGACAGCATTAGCTGAACAAGCTGCACAGCATTCTCAACAGGAAGCTCAAGGCCATGTTCAACAGGTGAGGCAGGAAGCCGAAGGCCATGTCCATCTGTTAAGACAGGAAGCCGTAAGCCATGTTGAGCGTGCTAGGCATGAAGCACAATAAACAAGGTCGGCCGCTGAAGCCGAAGTGTCAAGGTTGAGACAGGAGGCTATTCAAGAAATTTCCTCACGGGAACAGAAGATCCTCCAGCAAAGCAAAGTGATAGATACATTAGGGAGTGAAAACCTTTTGTTGTCGCAACGCCTTGCTGACCTAGAAAGGGCTGTCGCATCCATGGCACAAAATGTTCCGGTTCCTCCGGATGAAAGTTATGAAAGTCAAAATCCTACGGATCCCGGGTCATCGGGGCTAAATGACGTTGGACGTGACCTTCAGGTTGGATCACAGGCTCCCCAAGTTCAAGGGCCGAGTGATGCCACACGTGAGCAGTGTCCCCCCGAAGGATGCAGCTCTAGGCGCATCGGGAAGTTCAAGTAGCGACCCTAAGGTAGCGCCACGTGCCCCTGTTGGTTTCCCAAAATCCTTCGCTCCCCCACAGCCCGACATCAAGTCAGATGCCAAGCGTGTGCAAATCCAGGATGGTGATCCACGTGCACAACCACAAGGACCACCGGACGTCGCTCGGACTCAGGATGTAAGGGGACCTGTAGACGCACAGGCACAAATGTCCTGTTTAACTGAGCTGGTCCATCAACTTTCAAAGTTAGTTGAGGCCCAGGTAGGGGTATCAGGGGCTTCGCCCCCGATCGCATCGGCTCAGACACCCCCGCCTTCCGTAGCTGTCCAGCACACAACTGCTGTCCCCACGCTTAGGCTAACAAGTGCAAGTACAAGTCAAGTGGCTCAATTCCCATCCTCCCCACTCGCACCTTCGGAGGCAAGCTCCGACACATCCTCAGAATCCGGTGACGAGGGTAACACTCCCCTCCCTTTCCATGAATGGGGGGCAGGGACAAGGTACTCAAGCAGCAGATGCAAGTGGTGGGGATGCTGCTACAAGCGCATCAGATCCGGCCTCACATGAGGAAACCGTGGTTCGCATAAAGGACCTTAAGGATTTAGTGCTTCCGCTTCCGCCAGAGAACGCCGGCCAGGCGCGTGGATATGTGAATCAAGTCCTCATGGCCATTGGACGTCTGCAAAAGACGACCGGTGACGGGCTCTATCTCTGGGCTCAGGATTGCCTGACCTCATCCGAGGAACAACTCAGGGCAGATGCACGTTTCCCACGCACAACCCGCGAGATAGCCGCCAAGCTGTTGAAGACCTGTCGCAAAGGCAAGTTTGGGTTGTTGTTCCAAAACATGGTGGAGCACGAACGGAACACCGCAGGTACAATGCCCAATGGGCGCGTGATGTTGCGTTCGATCTTCAAGCACTTTCAACTGGAGCGTGATCGGATCGGCATCCTTGGAGAACGCAATCTTCTAGGTTTGAAACTTGCCGGCCAATCAGTAGCGGACATAGAGGCGTTCCGTGAGAAGTACAACTATATTCTCCGTGCAATACCCCTTGATGAGCTCCCCGAGGAAAGAACGCTTTTCAATCATCTCATTGACGAGTTTGAGAAGTGCCAAGTAATGAAGCATCGCGTTGAGAAGGCCCGTGAGTCCGCCCATGATAGTCACCGCCGCACCTGTGCATGGCTTTGGGCAAAGGCTGACCTGGCCATCGAGCTTGCCCAGCAAAAACGCAACCGTGATGAGTTTGATCAGGATGTCAAGCTCAAACCGGCTGTTCGTGGCACGGGCAAGGAAGCAGCTACCAGCGCTTTGCCAGCAGAGACTAAGAAGGAGAAGAAGAAGAACAAGCAAGGCGAGAAGAAAGGGGATCAAGGGCAGGATAAAGGCGGCCCTAAAGGGAAAAGTCCTTTTAACCCTAAGCCTCCTCCTCCTCCGAAGTCCCAAAATGCAAACAA